GTCATGCCCCAAAAGAACTAAAGACGAGGTTCAGAGGAAACAAAAAGATTATTCATTGTTTACCCTGAGCCTCGTATACGATTCTTTTGTGCGTGGTTAGCCAACCAAAATATCGAAATTGGGCTATTGTGAACAATGACTGTTAGTTTTTAWAGGCCCAGTGTGCACCATTATGCTTTRGGGGCCGYGAGGGCCTGGAGGCGGCCATTTTCAGTTTACCGAAAGTCTATAAATTGTACTGTGCGTTTCGAATCTTTGACCATCTTACTTTTCTAAGCACTTTAAACGCTAATATAAGAGTTTTCAACCATCTAAAATTCGTTTTATGGTGATATTTGGATACTAGAAGTATTTTGGTGTAAATCATAACAATAACAGAGGCGCGCAAAGCATAATGGTGCAAACTGAGCCTCTAAAACACTAGAACGAAATCTGCCAAGTATTAAAAAACTGAGCTTACACGACGAAGCGACTATTCCYTCGATGATGTCYGACTTMGATGCTGTTGGCAATACTCGAAGGCTTCCCATTCGACCATTAATATACAACCGCTCGCCATTGGATGCTTTTTGCGCYAAGAAAGTGACGGGTATGTTGTTGAAGGGTCCTTTTTCGACATATGACAGCTGTAAGTTCATRTGGGGTTGGATTGTGTAGCCTTGTTTTCTATTGTCTCCTTTACTGGGGATGATGGTTACTGGAATGCCTGCACGATTGTCAAACCTGACTTTGATGAAGCGATCAGAGGATGACTGCGCCACTGTTGAAAGAGAAATAAGATAGGCATCATTGTCGAACTTTCTCATACCATGTTCTGAGGCACGAAGTTGTAAAGAAAGCCAAAAAATGACCAATCAAACTGAACGCTTTTTTGCATATTTTATCTCGGATTTTCTCTGTCAAATTCGCTATTATTTCCAAAGTTTTTGTTAAGTATTAACTAGGTGGATAAGTCTTAAGTATTATAGTATTTATCAATTCATACAAGACAAGGAGATAATCATATACTAACCACTGCTCCAGTAGTACATTGAAATCTTTTGAGCATCCAGCGATCGAACATGATGCTCGAAAAACACTAATGAAGCTACGGACATCTTCGTGTTGCCGTACGGCGGACCAGCGGCAYTGCGYCCCAACGCCAAATGCGTAACTGAGTCGTCTAAATGTTCACCCTGCTGAGAAACCACGGCTTCAGAAGACGCCACAGGACTCCCGTCCATATAAAGACTCAGACCGCTGTCTTGTTTCCATGTGACAAGGGCATAATACCACTTATTGAGGACGTATGGTGCTTCGACCTGAGGCAATTAAAAAATAAAAATTCCTTAGAATCATTAGAGTTACGATTTCTACTTATGCATAGCTATTTTATGCTGTTAATTCAAGAAACCTACCCTCCATGCGCTGTTAGACTGGGTAACAGTGGCATATAGCATTCGATTCTTCAAATACATGGAGAAACCACGCCCGTTAGAGCTCGACCCGCCGGTGTCTATGACGTAATGGGGTTCGTTCATGTACTTGGACGATTCGTCGTCAAACTTGACCTTCAAACCAACTGTAAAACCAGCTGGACAGAGCTGCGGATCGCTTAGACATTTTCCTGGATAGAATACAGAGGTACGCCATTAGAAACTTAATAAGCAATAGAAATGAAGAAGTACAGTGATGGTGCTGGCCAGAACAATAGACGTCTTTCATGTTAAAACGTTAAATTGCCTTAACGTAAATATTATGGTCGTAAGAGGGTGATAGAATGGAGACAAGGCAAAGGAAAGCTCGATAAAACAGGACCAGAAACCTATAAGGGACTAGCGCCGTGACAACAGTTGGAATATTAAAATCTCATTTGCATCTCATTTCCTTATTTGACCTCATTTGGAATAATTAAATTTACCCTATAGCCAACCAGAACGGGCCTTCAATCTCTTATCCAACGGCCGAATTTTCCAAATATGGTCATAACGTTCGTTTTGGAATTTTTTATGAGCTTTGAACATTCCAACGCTTGGTACTAAAGAAATGTACGGGCGTTACGCGTTTCAAGTCCCTTATAGGTTTCTGACAGGACTTAGTGAACAGACAAATGTCTGAATACTGCCATGTAAACATACTGTGAGATCATAGTGAAAGAGGGTCATTTGGGTACGTCGAGGCATCAAATCAGCAAGCCATACCTTTAAAGTCTCCTGCATCAAGCCAGCTTTCCTTGCCGTCCAATTGTATTCCTTCGTCGTTCTCTTTCAAGTCACCGAATGCTTGGATGGCAGGCAAAGCTCCCAAGATTTTTCCGTCTCTTACTTTCTGGATGGACCAAGCGAACGTTGGTGCAACGGAAGGTGCTGCAATAGAAAAGATGAGTCGATGAGTTGATAAGTTGATAAGTTGTTTTTAATCGTAATCATAATCGTAATCGTAATCGTAATCGTAATCATAATCATAATCATAATCATAAAATTTATACTTACCAGGGACAGCGACAACCATCGTTGTAAAATCCTGCATTGATTCTCTAGGTACAACAGGGAACGATTCAGGGCTGTTGTTGATCTCTAGRGGAATCTTCGTCGTAGAATCGTAAGCTGTGAAAGTCACAGGACTCGGTGTATTGCCATCGGTAGACATTGACATCAAAGTGACTTCWAGCGTCGATCGGGGAATCATATGAAAGCCACGATCGTTTCCTTTGCTGGGTTTGACTACGATATTCCTTCCTGCCTCGTTGGTWATKCGTATTGGAGCGTAGAAAATCTTGGCTGATGCTAATGTGAAAGTTRATTATCAAAGTTACTTAAAGTAAATTATTATTACAATTCAGTTGTGAATGTTGTTTGAGTTTAATCCAGCGTCTACCGTAAACATTGTGAYGATTATTTTAGGGATACACTAGATGGACGCAGGCTATGAGGAATGAAGAAAATGTCTAAATAGCAATTGATCRGAKTRGTTTGAATTAAAACGCGCGTCTTTCTCTTAAACAATCCTTCAAMTTCTTCTTGTTTTGAWGATTCATCCATATGATTACCTAATGAACCTCTTTCGGTCTGATCTGATGTTCAACACATTACGACAGATTAAGTGTTCAAAAACGCGCGATTAATAGATAATGGTACCATGTWTGACCAATCAGATATCAAGACTTTTCTAGCGCTTTCAAAATGTTCATGATCTAATAAAACTATACTTACCACCAGACGAAAAGAAAATAAAGGCTTTATCAATATCTGATTGGTTGAGAGCTTCACCAAACGTCGTTAACGAGCTCATATCAAAAGCAGTAAAGAGAATATTTCCTGTTTTGCCAATRTTACGCCCTAGGGTCAGGTTTTCTTCTCCRCCGATAGAGGTCGTGTTACTGACAGGCCGACCRGTRTCATCGTCGGATCTCAGGACAGAGTCTTTGTACATCTTAAGACCGTCTTTAGTATTCCAAGTAATGGTAAGGTARAGCCAAACATTCGGGGATATTGGCCTGGACACCTGAGCAAAAACAATTCAGTCAGATAGAAGTAAGAGATAAGAATATAATATCGGTTTATTGCTGATGTTTTCATCATCACTATCATCATGGTACTCAACAGGTACTCCTCTATAACGAATCCGCCGCGTGTTCCCGCCTTGTCCACGCGTGTTTTTATAACACAATAAATCACTCGCGCTAGTCTATTAATTCGATAACAATACACACCTTCCATAATCGATCAAAAGTCTGTACTTCAGCGTATAGATCGCCATGATCGATATACAACGAAACGCCTGGTTTACCGCTATGATGCCCACCAGTGTTTAGTATAGCCCTCGGTTCATCATCGTACTCTACGGCYTGATCACCAAACCTTATCTTAGTAGCAATAGTAAGACCCTTGTCGCTACTACCGGGGCTCACTAACACATCGTGCTGGGGTAGTACAGCCGACATAAACGTATCAGACCCGTCRAAGGAAATACCGTCATCTACATATCGGTAGAAGCCATGTGCGTGAAGCGATGGACTACCAAAGATATGTGTTCCTTTGAGAGCTGCCATTGACCACGAATGCTGAGGCTTGACGGATGGAGCTTGAGAGACAAGTTACATATGTAAAGGCGAAGTTTATATGATTGACTATGAGACCCTATTATATCAATGCGGACGCCATTTTGAATTTTACTACTTTCAGTGTTGACAAGTCAGAAACTATGGGACAAGCAGAGGACACTTTACAAGACGTTTTTTAGACTGTACGGTTTTGAGAATGCTATGATGCTCAATAATATCATAAGATTTGTAAAATGTCAGATAACATTTGGATAACAATTCAAAAACTTGCTCGAAATTGCAAGAGGAAATGTTTTTGTAAGTGTTGTATGTAAAAAAAACATAATTAAAAACGGTACCATTTAATAAAACAATTTTTAAWAATTCAAGATGGCGGACTCATCAATGATAWGRTGTTTATCACMTACCTGGAGCTGTGATATTGAATTTAGTGACAATATCAGACATTTCTGCCGGACTAACAGATATTGGTGTRAKCTTCTCATTGATCTCAAGAGTTGATTCAGTTTCCACGTCCTGAGCCTTGAAGGCAATTGGTTTGGGGTCAGCGGGACCACCCTTGATAATGATATGCACTTTGAGTTGGGACTTGGGACTAACGGTGTAACCTCCCTTTTTGCCTTTACTTGGAAGGAGTCTCACTTCACGGTTCAGTTTGTTGTTAACCATAAGAGTAACAAAGTGTTCAGCAACAGGAGGCTTGATTTCTCCAACTGAAATTTCAAGAAAATTTTATTAAATCACCATTTTCTTGTTGTTGACGTGACGTCATTGACGTACAGCCATATCTTTTGTTCCTTATTTTTCAATGGATGTCTGGTCTTGTAACCTCAAACCAAGAATACTACATGCTTTGTGATTGGCTAAGGTCGGTTTGTGACCTAAAACCAAGAATACTACATGCTTTGTGATTGGCTAAGGTCGACTTGTGACCTAAAACCAAGAATATTACATGCATTGTGATTGGCTACGGTCGCCTTGTGACCGGCTAAAACCAAGAATACTACATGCATTGTGATTGGCTAAAGTCGGCCTGTGACCTCAACCCAAGAATACTACAAGCATTCTGATTGGCTAAGAACTGCTGCGTCGTATTAGCAAATGTAGTACAGTGGTGAAATCATCTTGTACAACTTACCTGGTTTAGTGATCTCCACTCGTACTGCAGGGTCACTAAATGATCCAGGTCTGACAAGAAGTACCTGTTTTCCATTCATTAACAACGGTTTACCAGTATTTGGTTCAAAGGCTTGAAGTTTAATAGATTCCTGACTGAAGTATTCCTTCGTGATTTGCATGGCYGTGCTTGTTCCGATATGGAAGCCGTGCGCGCCATCTTGCAAAGTAGGTGCCACGAGAACATTTGATCCTATCTTGTTTTTCACTCTTAATGTTACATAGAAAACAGATGCTTTGTGTTCTAGAAGAAAAACAATTAGGRAAAGATTAATTTTAACTCTCTGATTAAGTATAATAACATTCTAACGCTCTGGCTTGCGAGAACTTACAGTGATTGGAAGACAAAAGTAAACAATGTAGGAAAAGAAAGAAAGAGAGAAGAATTTGATCACTTAAGCAGCATTCATCTCTACACACCTGGTATTTCGCCCTTTTTCTTGCCACCAACTAAAATGCAATTAGAAAAAAAAATGGTCACGCACAAAAAAAATATTTCTCTAAACTTTTATTGAATAGCTATGCATAAATAAAAGTAAATCGACACCAAAAATTACCTGTAATTGCCTTCAGTTCTAAAGTCATCTGTTCCTTCGTTTTAGTTGGCTTGATCTCAACACTTGTAGCGCCATTGATGGCAATGGGCTTGTTATTGTCATCAGTTCCAGTTATTTTGATTGTTTCACTACTTCTGGTTCCCTTGGTAACSACCATCATGACGTTTTTCTTGACAGCCAAAGGTTTCTGTCCGGGGAGGGGTAGTTGAAGATTAACTGGCTTTCCAACTCTATTGATGATTTTGATTGAGATGTACCGCTGCTCGCCTGTAGAGAAAGATTTTCTTTTCATTGTAAATAAATTCTAGACTTAATTGATTTTATTGTATAAATTTTGTACAGACTATTATGTCACAAAGAGTAAGTTGTTGCTTACATTACGATGCATTTTTACATAAGCATAAACAAAATCTCGAAAGGGATGTCGATGTTTATTTCGGGTATAATAAATTTTAAATGAATAGGAAAAYAATAGGATAAAGAGATAATAAGTTTTCCATAAATAAAAAATCTTAAACACGACCGCATTGMATGCTGGTTGACTATGGCCCTTTAAAGACGAACTTATTACAAAACTTACCTTGAGAAGCAGGGCCACAGTTTACAATATCTACCCTCTCTCCTTTCTTCGCTGTTGGTGTTATAGTAATTTCTGATGTCCCATTTAGCGGCACAGCTTTTCCCGTTGAATCTACAGCCGTGAAGGTTATTGGCAGGTTTGTAGTGACAGACTTAGTAATGGTCTTTGCTGTTCCCTTCTTGACTGGAAATCCTTCCTTTGGATCGCTATCAGATGTTTTGATTACTATGTCTTGAGGGTTTCGGTTCATGATTTTGATTGTGAAGTAGAATTTTTCTGAAAGATTTAAAGGTGAAACGTTTGAGAACTGCATCCAAACGGCTTATCGTATTGTCGAAGAGAAAATAACATTCTTCTTTCTTGGTTCTTCTTTGGTTTGCTTCGTTTTTTTGTCKTTTCTTTTCGAACTTTTCTATTGAAACACTATTTCTTTTCAAACTTTTTTATTCAAACACTATTTTCTGAATATTAGGTCTGACAGCAGTTAATAGTCTCCTTCATGGTTACCTGCGCCATCTTGAAAGGTAGCCGTGCCTTTACATCGAAGTGAGACGACCGTTCAACGTGCAATGTTAGAAACCTTCTTTCACACCTACAGACAATTATTCACAGGTATCTATCATTGCACGCTCGACGGTTGTCTCGCTTCGATACAAAGGCACGGCTACCTTTCAAGATGGCGCACGTAACCGTGAAGAAGACTATTCCCTTCCTCAGTCCCTCCCTCATCTATTCCTAGTACGTTTTAGAAATGTTTTCATACCTCCGACTACAATCTTTGGTTTAGTCACAATGATTTGATAGCCTTTCAAGTCCCCAGAGACTGACACACTTTGGTGGCCGTTGAGCAGGAGTGGAGTCTTGGCAACCGCCGCCTTCGCTGCTAGAGACACGTGAGAGCCTGCTGCAATCTGCTTCTCTAGTACCACAGGATAAAGATGAGGAATCTAAAAAACATACAAGACAACCTTGTTATTACAACGTGTTTTTTTGCCTTGAAAAATAGAGTCAAGATAATACAGTGAAATATAGGTTTACATCGCCTCGTTTAGAGGGACAGTATACTTCAGAGCAATAAAATGTCTTTTTCGCGCTTCCAATTTTTAGAAATAATTCCATTCTTTATAAAAAATAGTATTATAAAAATTTGAAAAAATAGTATTTTTATTTTTAGAAATTAAATTGATGTCGTTTATATCACTTGGAACTTGATTGTAGAGTGCAGACACTAAGTCTGTGAAATATGTACAAACTCATTAGTGCTTAACTAGTTCTAAGTTAGTTCATATTAGTAACTAGCACTCAGCCGTGGAACAATAGTAAATTCACCACAATGAATACTCAAGAGACTTCAGACAGTCAAGCTTTAATGATTTCACTAATGACTATGAATTTTATTGTTCTTTCATTACAAGCAGATAATTCTGTTTTTTTATCTAGTACAATGATCTAAGAAAGTTACACATTAGAGTGATTTTCATCGTTCTGTGAAACAATTACTAATATTCAGTTTTTAATAGTAGAACGTATTCGCATAACCCACTTTTCAAATGCTAATGAGTTTGCTAATATTCTAATGAGATTGGCACAAGAAACAAAAGAGCAAAAACATGCTTGAGTGATTTCAGTAGCGAATATTATTTCAAAACTATTTTGAGCTCAGTTCAATAAATGCAAAATTTCAAAAGGAAACATTTTTATTTAAGCTATACAGCTATNCACAAAGAATAAGTTGTTGCTTACATTACGATGCATTTTTAAATAAACATAAACAAAATCTCGAAAGGGATGTCGATGTTTATTTCGGGTATAATAAATTTTAAATGAATAGGAAAATAATAGGATAAAGAGATAATAAGTTTTCCATAAATAAAAAATCTTAAACACGACCGCATTGAATGCTGGTTGACTATGGCCCTTTAAAGACGAACTTATTACAAAACTTACCTTGAGAAGCAGGGCCACAGTTTACAATATCTACCCTCTCTCCTTTCTTCGCTGTGGGTGTTACGGTAATTTCTGATGTTCCATTTAGCGGCACAGCTTTTCCCGTTGAATCTACAGCCGTGAAGGTTATTGGCAGGTTTGTAGTGACAGACTTAGTAATGGTCTTTGCTGTTCCCTTCTTGACTGGAAATCCTTCCTTTGGATCGCTATCAGATGTTTTGATTACTATGTCTTGAGGGTTTCGGTTCATGATTTTGATTGTGAAGTAGAATTTTTCTGAAAGATTTAAAGGTGAAACGTTTGAGAACTGCATCCAAACGGCTTATCGTATTGTCGAAGAGAAAATAACATTCTTCTTTCTTGGTTCTTCTTTGGTTTGCTTCGTTTTTTTGTCKTTTCTTTTCGAACTTTTCTATTGAAACACTATTTCTTTTCAAACTTTTTTATTCAAACACTATTTTCTGAATATTAGGTCTGACAGCAGTTAATAGTCTCCTTCATGGTTCCCTGCGCCATCTTGAAAGGTAGCCGTGCCTTTACATCGAAGCGAGACGACCGTTGAACGTGCAATGATAGAAGCCTTCTTTCACGCCTACAGACAATTATTCACAGGTATCAATCATTGCACGCTCAACGGTTGTCTCGCTTCGATGCAAAGGCACGGCTACCTTTCAAGATGGCGCAGGTAACCGTGAAGGAGACTATTCCCTCCCTCATCTATTCCTAGTACGTTTTAGAAATGTTTTCATACCTCCGACTACAATCTTTGGTTTAGTCACAATGATTTGATAGCCTTTCAAGTCCCCAGATACTGACACACTTTGGTGGCCGTTGAGCAGGAGTGGAGTCTTGGCAACCGCCGCCTTCGCTGCTAAAGACACGTGAGAGCCTGCTGCAATCTGTTTCTCTAGTACCACAGGATAAAGATGAGGAATCTAAAAAGATAGACGAAAGCCTTGTTATCAAAACGTGTTTTTTCTTTTGCATTGAAAAAGAGGGTAAAGAAAATACAGTGAAATATAGGTTTACGTCAGAGTAATAAAATTTCTTTTTCGCGCTTCCAATTTTTAGAAAAATTTACATTATTTATAAAAAATAGTATTTATATTAAATTGAAGTCGTT